GGTACCAGATTTTACTAATGTGGAAAATTATGTCAGTTGTTTTTATTTAAGAACTTTATTAATTAATGTTAAATATTGATTTTGCATACACATTCAGTTGTAATAAGTAGTTTGGACTTCAGTTTTATTGACCTTTATAATCATAGACATTTATAATTATAATTTGCAGGTTTACAGTAAGGTTGACAAAATCTGATCCAATGACCATTTAAAATGAAGTCATTTACAAATGAAAGGCTATATTCTATTCCTTTCCTTGCTTCTGTATAATACATACTCAATAAATGTTGTCAAGTGAATGAAGGAGTCAAGGAATGAATGAGTAGACAAAATGGGATATGTTATTTTCTGGCCCAAGAGTTCTCTAAGCTAAGCATTAATGGGAAGAAATAATTTTATTTTTACAAAACTAAGAATAGAAAAATGTTGAAGCCTATTTCATTTAATAATAGATGGTATTGAAAAAATGGTGAATGAATGAATGAGGGGGATTCACTGTGCTAATCACATATTTAAACTACTAATGAAAACTTTACAGTGTACTTTAAAGTGATGTAGTTTTCATAAGACTGGGAATATGATGCCAAAAACACCAAGAACTTTATTCACTTTTTAAGAAGTAATTAAAAGTTTGCCAGAAATACATATCAAATCTGTATTTACCAGGATTATTAATCCCCTTTGTCTTAATAAAGATAGACCTTATGAAATATTTTCCAAATTGGATATGTCTCAGCAAGATACTAGAGAAGCTGCTGTTTCCTCTTCTCTTTCAGGTATGATTTTAAGTGGTTCAGAGTCCATTTGATAGAGAAATACACTTAAAGTTATGAGGACACCAAGGGAACACATTTAATAAAAACATTTGCTATTCTGCCTAATGGTGTTAAAATATTTCACCTAATATTTTAAAGCATAGGTCCAATATAAACGTTAAATGGGCATTATGGAGAGCTTATGCTGTTTAAATGCAAGTTGGGTTATGATAGTCCTTATAAGTTAGTACTGATATTCAGTATTAATATGCTGAGAAGAGCACATCTGTAAAAACTGATATGTCCTGGTATTCATGGCAGGATTTGGACTGTCTTTAATCTCATTTGACTTGTTCATCTTCCTTTAAGGCCATCCATAAAGATGCTTGGAGTATTCTTTTCAGCCTTTGGTTAGGATTTGCATGAGTAGTCATAAACCTGCTCTCCGGACAAAGACACCCTTTCCTTTGAAGTAATTGCTCAAGCTTTTCAAAGCAGTCCTAAAAGTCTGTCCTCTTTCTCTTTTTATTTTTCCTTAAGAAGAGTTTGAAGTGTAGCTCCTTAAACTAGCAGCAAGATAAATTTTTCTCTCAGCATTATTGAAAGCCATGACGATTTTTCAAGCAGTAAGACTTTAAAAGGTTCTTAAGGGAATCTGTTCTGCTTTATGATCCAGCTTTTGGTAGATCTTACTATCTCAGAAAGCAAAGGAAAAGACTTTTTTTGTATCCATTAACTATTGCAAATTTTTCTCAAAAGAATTAATCTGATATTTTTCAGAAGACTTTCTCCTGCTCTTGGTTTAGAGACTTCATTGGGAGATTATCGATAGCTTTGGAGCCTTTGAAAAGTAATATATAGCCAGAGTCATCTTATTTGAGCTGATTGTTTCCACCTAGGTATTAACTATGTGGGCTGACAAGTAGTCGGGAGGGGCAGATTTGGGAAAGTGTTGCAATGAGAATGAGATAGATGGTTCTGAGATTTTGTTTCTAGGCTTTCTTAATAGAAATGTACACAGATACGGAGGGGTTTTGCCTTTCCTTTCTGTGGGATGTTGTCACTTGGGCTCTGCTATGATCCAGGTGATGTATAACAGTGTAACTACAGAGCACTGAAAAGACAGATTCTGTGAGCCACATATAAAAAGCCTGTGTTCCTCCAATTATTCCTTCTACCCTTAGTAATTTCATTCCAAGTAGTTCTCAAAATGTTCATTGAACTTAAACAGCTTGGACCTGTTCGATTTAAATCCGATATCATATAACTATATACGCAGTAGTGAAATTTTAATATTTAAAGCTCTTGGTTTATTGGAACTTACAAATATCCAACAGGTATTTATTTTGAACATACTTTTTGATAAGTAGAAAATGTGAAACGAATGTTCAATCTGTACAGCAGATACTAGAGGGAGTATAAAGTTCAGTTTTTAAACAAGACTGGAAACAGCTTTTCTTAGAGGAAATAATATCTCTCCTTAATTTGTTGTTTGTGGGTTTTTAGAGGCCATTTATGTACATTTCCTATAGGGGAGGGAAGTTATAGTAGCACAATCATTTTACTGGAAATCCAGTGAGTGTTTGTGAAACCAGTTACCTGAGAAGAACTTAATGATCTTAAGTCTATCCTTATGCTTTTAATTTGTTGTTTCTCTCTCTTTCTTTTTTGTGTTTCCTGAACTGTCTAACCTGCTTCCTGGATTAGGAAACATTTTGCCAAACTTTGAAGCTAAAGTCCTAGCACTGAACAGTTCTTTATTCAGAGATCAGGCTCTAGGAAAAAAAAAACCACCTTTTTTCAGTTTTGAAGTTACTCTGTATGTGTATGTGTGTCTTCTGATTTGTGGAGTGAAAAGTGATTGGTAAATAGTTATATGATAGTTTGGATTATTGGAAACTAGTATTTTATAAGTAAAGCATACTTATAAAAAATATTAATTATGAGTTTACATAAAAGATGCTATACATTAACCCATTTTTTAGGGTTTTTCTTCCTAAACTCTAAATTTGTAGTCATAGAAAGCTCTCAGTATTTCAGCTCTTTTACATTAAAGAAAGAAATTGACAGCAATCTTCTCGCTTTCTCCATCATGCTCCTGAGAAAATACTCTTCGATCTAGAAAACGAAAAGTTAGCATTGACGTGTTTAAGTGATGATGTCCTCTGGGTCCACCATTATTCATCCGTCCATTGTTTACTTTGGCTTATATTTAGATTGCTTTCATTTGCCATCGGTTTTCCTTCAAACCTTCACTTTACACTGAGGAATTCCAAGACAATTCAATTTAAAACACAACCCCCCCACCCCACCCCCGTAAAATGGTAACTTATGAAAACAAAGGAACAATCAAATGTATTCTTTAGATCTTAATGATTTTAATTGTTGTTAAAACATTGCCAATAGATATAATTAGACAGCAATTTCAAAAATAACATTGTATGGTATTTTCATGGAATGTAGTGTTTATTGAGAAAGGGAAAACTGAATCAGGGCTAAATAAAGTATTGGTAACTTTTTAAAACACAGCATATTTACTTCTAAATTTATGGCAAGTATTATCTTTAACATAAGGTTTAGATTGGCTTATGTTATTTGCTTCTTTTCTTTTAAAATTTCCCAAATTTGTGGATTTTTAAGAAAAAAAAATAGCTCTTGTGACAAATTTTTTCTGGTTTGGGAAAGGTCAAGTAAACTTTCTAATTAAGGTGGGTTTGCCTCCCCAAAGTTTTTAAACTTGGAATTGAATAAGACCAAGTTCCTTGTTCCACTTATCCCCTTGCCTTTTCATGTGTCAATGCAGGTCAGTCTCCCTTTATCGCTAAGCCCTTGGGCCAGTTCCAGTGTCTGGCTGTATGTAGCACAGCCAGTACAGCGCAAAGTTTGGTATGAGGCCCTTTGAATTAAGTCTCATTCAGAGACTTAATTTGGTGACCTATAGTCACCAAAGCCAAGAGGGGTACTGTGGGGACACAGCTGTGTATTACGTACTCTAGTACATGCATTGTAACCATTATGTATTATGCTAAACCTGAAGTAACCGCTGGCTCCAGGGGCTGGAAGCACAAACTAGACTCCTATTTTCATAGTAGAGGCTCTCACCTTTTTCGGTCATAGATCTCTGTGTATTTAGTAAAACCTATTTTCCTCCCCTGCCACCCAGAAAAACAGGCACGTACATATATTTTGCATGAAATTTCAGAGAACCCATTGACTCGCTGCAAGAAACTTTGCTTTGGAGGCTAGATTAGTTTTTTTGGCGATAGCATTTGCCTTTCCGAGTACAGGAGGTTTCTGATTGGTTTTCCTTGACATCCCATACCTCTTGCCTCAGAGTGGGTGACTGCTCCAAGGACAGCCAAGTGTCTGGGGTTAGGCTGACAAGTTATTCTTTTCCACAGAGTTCCATAGCTGGTGGTGGTGACCTATTCTCTGGGCACATTTGCCCCTTCTGGATTACACAGTGTCACTTATCAACCGTCCTGTAAAACCAGTCCATATCAAGGAAGTCTAAGAACACTAACAGAATCCTCCTCTCTAGTTCTACTTTCAAAGGCTTTTTGTGTCTTTGTCCTTACGGACTATAAAAGTAGAGGGCTAGTGTAGTCTTAAAGTAGTATTCTTCAGGCTAAATATAGAATCCAGTTTATCCCTGTGGCGTGGCATGAATCAAGCCACACATCAAGCCCATTATTGTTTTACTTATCTGTGTTGGGGCCTTTCACAGTGTGGGTTCCTTATCAGCCAGCCAACAGTTTTCTTTTTACTTTGGGACAGAGATGCAGGATGACTTATTCATTCTACCTGTGGAAGTGTTTTGAAACATCTCCCATTATTTGGATACTCCTCCTGTGTCTGCCTTCTTTAATTCCTTTCCCTAATCTTCATTCACTGTCAGTAGAATTACATGTAAGGGTTTGGTTTTTTTGTTGTTTCTTGTTTTGTTTTTTCCCCCTCTGATCTTGGAATGAACTATAGAGAAATACACTCTGTGATATTTATATATGAGGAAAATACATAAACTTAGTAAAGATAATAGGTATTTAAGGGAGGGCTGCTTTGAGATAGCATCAATTCTAGTTCAGACTGTCTTCATTATGACAGGTTTCAGTGGCCCTAGGCAGAGGAGCAGCAGCAGCAGGGCTGGGGAGGGAGGACTTCTTTGAAATGTAAATTAAGCCAAAGTCCCTACATTTTATAATCATCCATCCATAAATCATCTAATCAAGGGGCTTATTTTATATTTGGAAAGTATCTGATGCATTTTAGAATGCAGATTTTGTCACATTTAACCCTAAGTTTTCAACCATTGTTGCTTGATAATCACATTAAGGATTACTTGAAATTTAGCAACGTGTGATCCTCAAAATCAACCTGTAGCATATAGTTTGGATCTAGTTCTAAAATAGGATTTTTGGACAAATCGCCAGACTACAAATTGGATTTAGGCATGATGGGAATTAGGACCAAGTGTTGATGTAATCTTCATGAACATGAAATAATTTGTTTTTCTATTTGTTTTTTCCTAAAGGTGAGACCACTACTCCTCGGGCCATTTTGACGGGCCACGACTATGAGATCACATGTGCTGCAGTTTGTGCTGAACTAGGCCTGGTGTTAAGCGGTTCTCAAGGTAAAACTGTAGTACCTTCTTAAAATGGATGCATTTCTTGGTGTCTTTTAGCAACATCACCAAAGGTGAATTTAGTACCTTTTCTTCTGTCTGGTTTGGTAGCCATTAGCCATGTGGGGGTATTTAAATTTAGATTAACAAAAATGAAGTAAAATTAAATAAGTTCCTTGGTGGCACTAACCACATTTCAGGTGCTCAGTATTCACATATAGCTAGTGGCTACCATGCTGGACAGCATAGATACAGAGCATTTCCATTATTGTAGAAAGTTCTATTTCACAGCACTGCTCTAAAGAGTTTAAGATGTTTTTACAAACATAACCCATTTTCTCATTTCAGTGAAGCAGGAATATGGAACATCTTTGTATAATTTGTTTATTCTTCTGAACTCTGATTGGGCTGAGTTCTGTCTCACACCTGAATGGAAACTCCTGATCCAAATCTGAGGACTAGGCAGAGACCAGAATAGTATTGAGAATGGAGCAGAAAGATGCTGAAGCTGGTCTGCCTGGAGGTTTATGTGGTAGCATCATCATATATTTAGGCCAAAGGCATTAAGTGAGATTTCCAATAGCTCATGTAGCAAATCAGAATCTGACCAGGAACAGAGCTTTTCCAATTCATTGCTTATTCCATTGTAATAGTCTATCCATCTCTCTGTCTGTTCTCTAAGCTGAGGTCTGAACCCATGAAAAAGTACTATAACTTCATGTATTTTAGGCTTATGTGGTGGGAAAGCATAGAGTAAATGAATTACTTTATCTGTGTCCTGAGCTATAATACTTAGTCTAGCTAACAAGATGTATTAAATATTTAATGGATTGTGTTTAAAAATTTAGTTGGTCAAAACATTGAAATAGTAATAATGATAGCAAAAATTCTGTAACTACTGGATTTTTTTTTCCTTTTTATACCAAATTGTTTCATATATCCTTAGCTAACGTGAGTTCTTGGACTACGTGTGATCCAAATTAGACGTTTAAAATGAACCTATCATATTACAGGCCATCCTTGCTTTGCACAGTATTGTGGGACTGTAAAAGTAACTGTGTAAGCTGAAACCATGCAAAGTGATCTTAATAATCAATGTGAAATTTTATGTTTGTTTCATGGCTTGGAAAATTTTTGTCAAAATATTAAAAACTCTTATTCAGTTTTTTATATATGTGTGTGTGTGTGTGTATATATATATATATATATATATATATATATGAACATGAAAAAATTAGAAAAACACATTTACCCAGTATACTGTAATTTAAAACAGAAATATTGAGAATTAAAGTATTTTCTTTCTTTGTGAAAAACTTATGAAGAGTAGTTTGAACAGCACTTACTGCCTCTTGTTTTATACACTTAAGGAGTGAGCACTTTTTCTGTGCCTTGGGGAATTGTCATATTCCTTCCCATGTTTGTATCAGCTTCCAACATTTTTGTGCTTTCAAATCATGAAATATCACCTGGGATTCCTTTAATGTGAGTCTTTTGCTTGTATCACTTTTTCTGGGACATCACCATTTTTGTTACAACCACTTTCCAAATTTATGTCACTAAGTTCCCTTCACTCATTTTCTGGCTGCATATCCATAGTGTCTCAGCAGTGTCAACGTCCCACAGGCAGCTCTTTCTTCTGTAACTCCACTTTACTCAATTCAAATTCCACTTTCAGCTTTATCACTTTTCATTTCTTTACTGCTGTTTCCTCTTTGTTGGTCAATACCCTTTTTTTTTTTTCCCCCTTTTTGTCTTTTTTCGTGACCGGCAACGGATCGCAACCCTCAGTGTCGCGCCCGTACCAGACCGGGACCGGCAACGGGATTGCAACCCTCAGCGCTGCCCCCGCACCTCGCTCAGCCAGTGAGCGGGAACCGGTCTGTATGTGGGATCCGAACCCTCGGCGGGAGCGCTGCCGCACTTCCCAAGCGGCGCACTGTAGCAGTGCACCACCGGGCCGGCCCCCAATACCCTTTTTTGATTATCCATTTTTATGAAATGTCACATGGGTTTATCACTGGGAGACAAGAAAGCAACACAGTACACAGTATGCTGTCTGTGCACAAACTGAATAACAGATATGCAGTGGCCAGTCACTGACAGAGTTTGAAAGAAGTGATGTGATTGGTTACTGATCATGATGCACATATGTTACTTACATAGTGATATGTGGACTGAAGAGCTGGCCACAGAGTGTATACTTATGCAATTACAGTGACAACTGAAATGTGAACTGTGTTGTTGGGGGGACTGTTATTGTTTAAGGGCTGATAACTGAAAACCATGCATGCTGGAACCATGCAAAGCAAAGACTGCCTGTATGTATTTATGTTGGAGAGCACTAACAATTTATAAACTCCCTGAATGGCCCAGAAGAAGCTGAGAGCTTTATTTTCAAAAGGGCATGCTTTTAAGAATCAGGAGGGGAGCAGGCAGTGGTTCCATGTGCCCATAAGTAATTTAGCTAGGAGAGTAGCAGGGCATATACCCCAGTTACCCCTCGTCAGACTCAGATATCTCTTGGAACCTACTCATCACACAAGCATTTTGTTACCTACTCCTTCTTTGCTTTGCATGTAGCAAGTGCTCAGTAGAAACAGAAAAGCTCTAATGTGTATGGGCTATTTTGCAGTTCCCCTGTCCTCCTCAGCCATCTCAGCCTGGTGGTCAGCCTGGGGAGTTGGGAGTGGTGAATGCTGCTGCTCGCTTTGGGGACAGGAGTGAGGTAGTCTCAGTTGCCAGGGAGAAGTGGCAGAAGGATCCCTATGTGAATTTTTGTGGGGCTGGAGGGTACTGCCAGGGATCCCCATTCAATATAAAGTTGTGAGCAATGGGAGAGAAAAAGGCTTTGGCCTTCAGAAGCTGCCCTGATTGGCTCTCCCTGCACAGGCCCACAGTGCAGTGACCATCAGGGCCCTTGTGAGATGCAGGGAGAGGCCACAGGGTGCATGCCAGCCTTCCTTGAACCTGTTCTAGGACTTGAAGTTTGTTCTGTTCCTTTCTGAATTCCTCCAGTTCGTATCTCTTGTGAATTTCATAGAGTAACTTCCTGTCTGTTGAGGAAGAGTGAACTTGAATGTATATGATTTGGCTTCTCCTCTCCCAGGTGGAAGGTGAGATCTAGCAAACATAAAGGGGAGATTTTGCAAAATAATTTATATGTAAGAGGATATAGAATTTTCTTAAGTCGTTTGATCTGTGCTCGAGATTCAGATCACATATGTCTATTTTCATTAAATAATTAATTTTGCCTTTTGTGTCTCCTCTTTTCTCAGAAGGACCATGTCTCATACATTCCATGAATGGAGACCTGTTAAGAACCTTGGAAGGTCCTGAAAACTGCCTGAAACCAAAACTCATCCAGGCTTCAAGAGAGGGTCATTGTGTTATATTCTATGAAAATGGCTTGTTCTGTACATTCAGTGTGAATGGAAAACTTCAGGCCACTATGGAAACAGATGATAACATCCGGGTGAGTGCCTTATAAACTTCTCAGCATTCTTGATTTTTACCTTAAAGTGTGGCGAGAGAGGAGGGAGAAGGTTCACTAAAGAAACCTCTGTGACTGAGTTGTTGAGGCCTGTTTTCCATGTCAGCAGAGAATCATTCAGTTACACTGGGACTAGGCTCCCTAGACCACAGCAGCCCCTGCCCATGCCGACCTCGTCACCCAGCCAGGTGCTCTGAGCAGATCACTCAGCGAAGCCCAGGACGGTCCTTCAGCAGAAGAGGTTTTCTGAAGGGCTTCGGAAGCCACCCTGAATGGCTTTCAGTGGCACTGCTCAGTTTTTTGTTTTTTGTTTTTTTAATCTAAGAAAGTTCACTGCATAGTGTCACTTTCTGAGTATCGAGGCTAAAATAGTACATTAGATTACATTTACAGCTGGCTTCTCTTTACAATTGACTAGGTTGGTGGTGTGACTATTTCGGATTAGCATCTAATTTCAGACTTTACTTCTTCGTGGACAACAAGACCGAAACATGTCAAATTAAGGGAGGTGGGCTTCAAATTATGATGTGAATGAGGCAAACAGTTTTTTTTTCCTTTTGGGATACACAAAATGTAAATACTAGAGGAGCTTCTGGGGTCTTGCTTCATTTTCAGGACAGGCTCCACAAGTATTAGAGGTTGAGGAAAAGAGAAGGGACTCTTCCTTTGAGAACCTTCTTTTTCAAGTCCCTTCATTTCTCACCTCAAGATTCCTTGGTGTGGGGTAAGGTAAAATGAAGCTAGGGTGTTCCTCTCACTTTCCAGAAAGGGAATGGGGTGTACATGACCTGTGTACAATGAAGGGACACAGGACGTGCTGAGAGCAGGAGCAGGGTCACAGGGGCTTCTGCCCTCTGAGTGTGGCTTTAGGTTAGCTCTGGGCATTTTACGGTGCTATTCCTGACCCTGGGCAGCTCAGGTGATATAGACTCTCCCAGTTCCCCAGATCTAGTCTGATCACCCCCTTGTCCCAAGTAGACGGGTCAGGAAGTATTAAGGAGCAAAAACCCTGCATAGAAGTTACGCCGATCAGATCAAGGGCCCTTGCGCTCTGTGTCCTGCATTAACTTCCTAATTCAATAGATGACTTCTTTCCACCGCTCTCCGCGAGTCTCTTCGCTGCATTCTGCTGGCCTCCACCACAAAGGCACGCACATAAACACACCCACGCTCCGCTTTTATTTTTCCCTTCCTTCCCATAATACTTCATTTAAACCAAATATACATCAGAGGCTTTTCCTTTCCTCTTTTCTTTACAATAACAGTGTTGATAATCTGTCACTTCGAGTTGCGATTATATTGTCAGCTACACTAATAAATCTGTAAAATAATTTGAAATCCCTCGCTGACTGAAACAATTTCTGTGGCATTTCAGTTAGTACCAGAGGCTCCGGGAAGTTCCTCGAGGCAGCAGTAGGAGGCTTTCTGCCGACTGTTCATACACACGCTTCTCCTCTCTGCCCTGCAGCCATCATTTTTTTCCCTCTGTAATTTTTCCCACTGGATTTTAGGCTTAAACAATCCATTGCCTTTTTCCCAGCACTCCTGCACTTTATCGCACTAACTTGCAAGTGGCAACCATGTGATTAAAGCAAGCTTGCCTAACATGAGCACTACCTGCTCGTGGCTCCAGAGGCTGACACTTTCACAGCTATCTACCTTGGAAAGCAAGGAAGGAAACTACAGGCTGGGAATACGAGACATCACAGAGCAAAAATCTCCAGCTCCATCCTGCAGTCTGAGCCTATAAAAGGAAAGGAGACCATGGAAACAAATTAGTCATCAGCTCAGACCAAAAATTAAGTTTCTTTGAAATACCAAGAACCCTGCAGGCAGGCAGCCTGGGGAACCCACTGCACTAATCAGGGCTTCCCTCCTGTTTTTATTTTAGATGCCAGATTGTTCAGTGGCATTTGGTTAATAGCATATCATAGTACATCAGCTAGACAATGTTTAGATGTCTTAATGAATAACTTAAATTTAAGTAGGCAGCCTGTACAGAGCAGCAAAGTTATTTTATACTAAACAAAGGGTAACCACCATGTCACCCATAGGAACTCATTTATTTTCTTTCCCTGAGGCTGTATTTTAGGATACGGCTATCCCCAACAGACTGCGATGGCCTGCTGGTACTTCCTTAAAAACCAGTGCAGCTACAGTGTTGTCCAAAGTACTCAGGATTTCAGAGGATGAGATTAACATGTCTCTGGGGCCCTCTTGAAAATTTCTAGTCACAACCCAACCTGGATACTGAGGAAGCCTATTAAAATTTAGAACCATCTGAACGCTGCGTTGGATGGAAGATAGGATTAAATTTCTCCTAAGTATTTTATTCTTTTTGATGCTATTGTAAATGGAATTGTTTTTAATTTCCCTTTTAAATTGTTCACTGGTAGTGTATAAAAATGAAACTGATCTTTGTGTGTTATGTGTCCTGCAAATTTGCTGAATTCTTTATTAGCTCTAACAGTAATTATCACCCTGGCTCTTACCGCCAGAAGAATTTGACAGGTTCCTCATGAAAGAAGCCAACAAAAAATATTTTTTCACCTTGGGAGGCACCTGGTTCATTAAGATGTTTTGAATGCTGATGAATGTATAGTCCTAAAAGTGTAGGTTTTAATTCCTGACAGAAGTAGGATTAGCTATTCTTTACTAGAACAAAAAGTTAAAGATTAATGGTTTTAATTTATGCTTAATATAGCACTTATTCAGTAAAAGGTCTCAAGTATAAAATTCAAGTGAACCACAGCCATAATGTTCATGGATTTTCATCAGCTGAATTTTATAAGTGCAGCAAATAATTATTTGTTCTAGTCTTCATTGTAGTTCCCCTGTACCCACCAGAGATTGCCATTTGCAAATGAATGGGCAGGGGGGAGATACTGATTTTTACTCATATTGAAAATCTTAATATCTGTATTTAGTTAACAACACTTAGAGAATACTTATATGTAACTGTCTTCCACACATGGATTTTTATTTCTTAGATGTATTCTTGTGTTCTTAAGAATAAGCTGTACAGTAGTCCCTCCTTATCTGTGGTTTCACTTTATGCAGTTTCAGTTACTCAAGGTCAATCACAGTCTGAAAATATTAAGTTATTTTGAGAGAGGGACACTACATTCACATAACTTTTAATGCAGTATATTGTTATAATTGTTCTATTTTATTATTAGTTATTGTTAATCTCTTACTATGCCTGACTTATAAACTATCACAGGTATGCAGGTATAGGAAAAAACAGTATGTATAGGGTTGGGTACTATCTGCTGCTTCAGGCATCCACTGGGGGTCTTGGAACTTATGTATTTGAGAGACTACTAAAAGTTGACATTTATGTGAATGCAAATTGAATAGCTATGAAATAGTCCTCACTTTTCTATGGTTTTTTAAAAAACTTGTCAAAGGGTAAAGACTTCAGGCTGCTATACTAAAATTCTGAGTACAGAATAGTGTAACTATGTTTTTTAGAAACTAAACATTTTTCTTTCTAGTATTCGCTTGTTTACTGTATCCAGGTGGACATAAGATTAGAGATGTTTGCAGTGACTGTTAGAACTCCCGATGCCACCCAGCTAAAGAAAGAAAATTTGTATCTTAATGAGCTAGGAAAAGAAGGCTTGGAGGGAAGGAGGCAGGAGGAGAGGAAGGGGTAACAGGATTGGCTTTTGGAGTAGGGAGGGACCTTTTATGTCAGGAGTTGGCACACTTTCTGTAAAGGGACAGGTAATAAATATTTTAGGCTTTGAGAGCTTTATGTTCTCTGTTGGAACTACCTGTGAAAGTAACCATAAACAAATGGGTGTGGCTATATTCTAATAACATCGTATTTATGGGCTTTCAAATTTAGAATTTATATAATATTCATGTGTCATGAAAAAATTTTTTTCAACTATTAAAAAATGTAAAAGGAGTCATACAAAAACAGGTGGTGGGATGCATTTGGCCCACAGGCTTCCATTTGTAAACGCCTGTTTTACAGAATCAAAAGAGCAAATTCTGTGCATGTCTGCTCAGTACTAGCAGAAAAGGACAGGGGGCCGCAGACCAGAGCTGACTAAATGACCGCTGCAGCACTCTCAGTCCTGAGGCAAGAAAATGCTTAATCGGGGAAGTTGTGGCTCTATACCAAGTCTTTTTCCCCATTGCTGTCAACATCCGGCAGGCTTAGCAAAGGTGCTAATGCTGCTTGCTGCATCCCTTGGGGCTAGAGTTGCAAAGGTAGCAGTGTTTTAGAGGGGATACAAGGTCAGCTGTTACTGTCTGCCAAGCCTTGGGACAGAATGGGCTTTGCATATCCACGGTACAATTGAAGAGATGGCAGGAGGCTCCTCACTAGAGTGCTGGTCCCATTGCACAGCACACACCACTCAAGTGGCATTTGTAGAACGGGAAGAGTTTTTCGTCTCATCCTTAAAAAGTAAAAATTTAAAAAGCAAAAAAAAAAAAAAACCCAAAAAACCCCAAGAAATTTGATTTTTGAAAAATGGCAAGTCTTCTACAACTTATGATTTCCTGAAAACTCCTAAGGATCTCTGTCTCTCTTTTCCCTGCACTGTGGTAGCTGGCTTAGAATAAGAATTAATCGAACACAGGGTGGGGGATGAAGTTTTCCTAGAACATCTCTACAGAGTGTTGCTGTGTCTCACAGGCCATCCAGCTGAGTCGGGACGGGCAGTACCTGCTCACAGGAGGAGACAACGGTGTGGTCATGGTCTGGCAGGTATCGGACCTCAAGCAGCTCTTTGCCTATCCTGGCTGTGATGCTGGAATCCGGGCCATGGCCCTGTCTTACGACCAGAGGTAACACTGGAATCATAGTCCACTAATAATGGTATCAAAAACTGCAGATGGAATTGCTTTCATAAACAGGCTGATGGATGAGTTCCGTAGAGGGGTTAATAGTGCAGTCATAAAAGCCAATGAATATTTGGGTTTCTAAGAACACTTTTAAAAAAACGTGATCTTCTTTCTGATGGCATTACCACTCTTGGACAAAGGCTGAGTTCTCAAAAAACAGACAAGATTTAAGTAGCAAGGGCTCCAATTACATTACTGTAAAGCTTTTTAAATTTTTTCAAAGTACCTTCTTTTCATAAAATTTGAAGAGCTGTAAACGTGTTTGACATAAAATGCCTTTATCTTTGCCATGGGAATTACACTGAGAGATTTGGCTTATTTTCTAAAACTGCTCAAGTGGTAAATTTTGGGGGATAATCTTTATCTGGCATCTCTTATTTATATAGTCACTCATTTTAGTTCCTTTTTTCCCCCCCTCCTTTTGGCTGTTGTGAATAATAATGCTATCAAGGTGTACAAATATCTGCTCAAGTCCTGTTTACAGTTCTTTTGGGTATATACCCAGGAGTGGAATTGCTGCATCATATGGTCCATGTTTAACTTTTCAAGAAATCCCCAAACTGTTTTCCACAGTGGCTGCACCATTTTACATTCCCATTTGGCTGTCGTATCCAAGAAATCATTGCAAAATCCAAGGTCATGCAGCTTTCTCTGTTTTCTTCTAAGAGTTTTATCGTTTTAACTTATGGTTAGGTTACTCTGATCCATTTTGAGTTAATTTTTGTATACAGTGTAGGTAAGGGACCAACTTAATTGTTTCATATGTAGATCTCCAGTTTTTCCCACACCATTTGTTGAAAAGACTGTCCTTTCCCCATTGAATGGTTTTGGAACCCTGTGTAAAGTTATTTGGCCATATATGTGAGGGCTTATTGCTAAACTCTATTCAGTTCTATTGGTTTTTACGTCTGTCTATGCCAGTACAACATGGTTTGATTACTACAGCTTTGTAGGAAGTTTTAAAATCAGGAAATGTGAGAACTTCAACTTTTTAAAGATTGTTTTGGCTATTTCAGGGTCGCATGAGATTCCATATAAATTTTAGAGTAGGTTTTCTAATTCCACAAAAAATGTCATTTAGATTTTGATAAGGATCACATTGAATCAGTAGATTGCTTTGGGTAATACTGACATCTTAACTATATTATCATTCAATCCATGAACATGGGATGCGTTTCCCCATATGTCTTTTATTTCCGTAATAAACATTTTGTAGTTTTCAGTGTACTTCAAAAAGTTTGTGGAAAGATTAATATTATCTTTCAGTTATATTTTTCTACGAACTTTTTGAAGTATTCTCATACAAGTTTTTTGCTTTGTTGGTTAAATTTATCCCTGTTTTTTTCTTTTTGATGCTGTTATAAACGGAATTGTTCCTAATTTCTCTTTGGATTATTCACTGCTAGTGTATCAAAATACAACTGCTTTTTGTGTGTTGATTGTATATTCCTGCAAATTTGATGAATTCATTCATTAGCTCTAACAATTTCTTTGTGGAATCCTTAGGACTGTCTGTACGTCACCTGTGGACAGAGATAATTTTACTCCTTTCCAATTTAGATGCCTTTTTTGTTGTTGTTGTTGTTGCCCAATTGCTGTCCAGGACATTCAGTACTATGTGAATAAAAGAGGTGAAAGCAGGCATCTTTGTCTTGTTCCTGATCATAGGGGAAAATCCCTGTCTTTAACCATTGAGTGTGATGTTAGCTGTGGGTTTTTCATAAATGTTCTCTATCGTTTGAGGTAGTTTCCTTAGATTACTATTTTGATTATTCTTATAATGAAAGGATGGTGAATTTTGTCATATCTTTTCTGCATTCAGATGATCATGTGGTTTTGTTCATTTTGTTAATTGGTTTATTATGTGCTCCGATTTTTGCATGTTGCACCTTCCTAGTATTCTAGGGAAAAAAATCCCACTGTCATGGTGTATAATTATTTTGCATCTGTGTTCTTAAGAGATATTGGTCTATAATGTTCTTTTCTTGTATCTTTGTCTGGCTTTGGTGTCAGGGTAATGCTTGCCTCATTTAATGAGTTAGGAGGCGTTCACTTTTCTTCAGTTATTGGAAGAATTTGAATTCTTTTTTAAGTGTTTGGTAGAATTTACCAGTGAAGCCATTTGGTCCAAGGCTTTTCTTTATTGGGAGGTTTCTGATTACTGATTCGATCTCCTTATCAGGAGATCATAAATCTATTCAGATTTTCTATTTCTTCATCATTCAGTTTTGCTATATTATGTTTCTAAGAATTTGCCCATTTCATCTAGGTTATCCAATTTGTTGGAAAAGAGTTAATATTCTCTTATAATCCTTTGTTACTTCTACAAAATTGGTGGTAATGTACCTACTTTCATTTCTGATTTTAGTAATTTGAATCTTTTTTAGTCAATCTAGCTTAAGATTTGTAAATTTTGTTGATCTTTTCAAAGAACCAACTTTTGGTTTGGTTGATTTTCACTATTTTTCTGTTTTCTATTTTATTTATCTCTGCTCTAATCTTCATTATTTCCTTCCTTCTGCTAGCTTTGGGTTTAGTTTGCTCTTCTTTTTCTAGTTCCTTAAAGTGTAGAGTTAGGATATTGATTTGCAATCTTTAATGTACCTATATGTGTTTCTAACTATAAATTTCCCTTATGTCCTCTTTTACCCATTACTTAGTTTCCACATATTTGTGAATTTTCCAGTTTTCCTTCTATTGCTGATTTCTAGTTTTCATTTTTTTTTTGATCAGAAAAGATACTTTGTATGATCTCAATCTTTCTAAATTATTAAGATTTGTTTTGTGGCCTAACATGGTTTATCCTAGAGACTGTTCCATATGCAGTTGAGAAAACCATATATTCTGCTGTTGAGTGGGCATTCTATACATGTGTTAGGTCCAGTTGGCTTACAGTACTGTTCAAGTCCTTTATTTCCTTATCTTCTGTCTGGTTGTTCTACTCATTACTGAAAATGGAGTATTGGAGTCTTCAACAACTATTGAACTATTTCTCCCTTCAATTCTGTTAATGCTTGCCCCATATATCGTGGGGCTCTTATGTTTAGTGCATATATAATTGTTTTCTTGATGAACTGACCCTTATCAATAGTGTCCTTGTCTCATAAGTTTTTGACTTAAAGTCTATTTTGTCTAATATTAGTAGACACCTCAGCTCTTTTTGTTACTTTCAACCTGTCTTTAGATTTAAAGTGAGTCTTTTGTAGACAGCATATAGTTGTATTTTTTTTTTAATCTATTCTGCCAATTTCTTCCTTTTGACTGGAGACTTTAATCTCTTTACATTTCAAATAATTACTGATGAGAGACTTACTTTCTCCATTTTGCTGTTTGTTTTCTGTCTGCCTCAGTTTTATCCTTCATGTCCTTGTTAACCACCTTTTACTTGTTTTTTTTTTTGTAGTGACACATTTTAATTCCTAATGTTGATACGAGGTATTAGGAAGGATACTGAGTATGACTTGTAATGGCTGGTCCTAACTAAACTACGAAGAGAAAGGTCTGCGATAACAGGCTCTTCCTTAGAGCAGCTCTAAGAAAGGGTCCTCTAAACTGCTTGTCTTACTGCTCTCCTTTTCCTGCACCACCTACTCCTGTGCCTCATGTCAGTGAGTCATTGTGTTGTGAGGACTAGGCTTCTACCCAGAGCATGATGGACATAGAATATTCCCCTATAGAGTCCAGTCTGAGTTTGGTCAACACGCTCCTTATTCTTCATTGATTCTGTACCTGTCAGAGACGGTATCTCTGTCACCTGATTGTGTGCTGCTTCCTCCAATAGCAAGTACTTCGACACTGTGATTTTTTTTTTTTATTCTGATGCCTACTATAAAGAGTAGGTGTCACCAGCCCAGCGCCCCCCACCTAGAAACTGTCTAGTTTGTTCCAGTTTTAGTGACTCATCCTGCACTTGTTGGCTGTGTTTTAGATCCTTGTGCAGTGTGAGAGGGCAGCACTCAGCTCACTCAGGCCTGGTCCAGTGGTAGTGGATTATTAGAACCTTTTAACGTTAGTGTCATGAAAGTACTATAACCCCCACTGCTATATTTGGCTGGCTTAAAAAAAAACGTGCCTTAGTTCTCACAAGTTGCAGGTTTGACCATCGTCTTCTATGTTTACCTTGTGGATTTGGGGAGGGTTGTTCTTTTAGTAACAGATCCCTAAGAAATAAAGGTTTGAAACCCCTGCTTCTCTCCCGTGCTTCTCCTAGGTGCATCATTTCTGGCATGGCTTCAGGAAGCATTGTTCTGTTTTACAACGACTTTAACCGGTGGCATCATGAATACCAAACGCGTTACTGATGAGGATGGCCAGGCAGGGGAAGTACCCCGGTTTTCTTACAAATAGCTATCAGATCTGAATGTAACTTAAATTTGCTCAAAAAACAAAATATTTTTAAAAATTAATTGCTATTTTTGTAGATTTTGCTTGACTTTTTGGGGGGTGGGGGATAGCAAAGCAGAAAACTGGCTGCTGGTTTCTGTAGTTTAAGAAAAATCTATATTTTTAGTCATAATGAGAAGTCTATTTTCACCAGTTATGGAAATATATAGTGGAGCAAGTAAACCCACTTATTCTAGCTACATTATGAAAAAACATTTCCCATTTATGTACAATCTATCTTGAGAAATATGATTTTAATAGGGAAATGGGTTAGAATACTAGGATAGGGGAATTTTATGCTGTACTTTGGGTCTTGTATGTTTCCAAACAGTTGTGCTTCTTCAGCACTGAAATTTCTGGGATTTAAATAGTAATGTTTAAATTATGGTAAATGTAATTTAAAACATCTCAATGAATTATTTCTGTCGATATTCTTCTTCAAGCATGTTTTAGACCTAGAAAATTATGGTTTGGGGAAGGCTATTTTATTGTGTGGTTAACATAAAGGATGTAGGTTATAGCAAGTGTGAAATATTTACCATTTTTTCCTGATCTGTCCTCTTCATAGCACAACAAAATGAAATGATGGAAATGCTCCTGGGCTTACCACCTTTTGTTTTTCTTTTAAAGTAAATGCAAGTACCAAAGCCCACCCCCTGGGGTTTGACTGTGTCCATGCAATGGAGCTGAGCCATTGTCAGGGCATCCCCCGACCCTGGGTTTGAGAACTAAGGCTACCAGGTGCTGTATTAAGCAATTTTACCTTCTATTTGTTATCAAACTATCCCACCTTCCTTTGATTAGCAATTTGTACTAAGAAACAATGTTATTTTGGCGTTGTATAATTCTACTTTTCTAGTTGATTAATGTGTGGAATTCTGTGAACAATATTTGAGAAAAGATCTGTATTGCATAAATAAATTCTTTGTGAACTTTGAGTTGAAACTGACATTGTGTTTCTCTTGCAATTTCCTCTCTTTTTCCTACATTCAGCTATTCTCCAAAAGCAAAGATTTAGAATGAATTCAGTTTGACAGGAAAATCTGAATAAAATGGCATTTGTAAATGAATTGTTGGAAATATCGTTTTCCTTCCTAGTTTTTAAACATTAATAAAAACATTATTTTATAAGCCGTTTAGAAAGAAAAGAATAGATGGTAAAATGTGGGGGAGGAAAGTACAACTTAGAATCAAAGAAATACTCAAGTTACTGGTAAATTAACTTACTAAACATCGACACTGGCATTAACTTGTGAATATCATCATTTGGAAACTTCCTTAAGGAGAAATGGTAGAAGAAGAAAGTTAGCACTATCTAAGTCAACTACCCTGTCTAACAAGCCTAACAAGCCTAAAGTAAGGTAAAAGCAGCTTCCTCTTAGAACCTTGGCGGGGGGGATCAGTGTCTCCACTGCCTTTATTGTTTTCAAAACTTACAACTATGGAAAATTAATTAACTGAAACAAGTAATAAAATAAATACAGCTGGTATCAACACAAGAGTTTCTTATGATAGAATCTGTTTAGTACAATATTTGTTAGTTTATTCAACATTCACATATTTTACCCAATTTTAACTCCTTAAAAAAAAACCACTATTACGTCAAATAAATAAATACCAGTTAGGAAAAAAAGTCAAAGTAGAGATGGTTTGGGGATGAAACTGAATGACCCACAACAGAGAAACTGGCTGCACATTCAGTTAAGTGGATGTACTGGATGGGCTGTGTGTCTGGCTTACACAAGTAATTTAAGGCAGGTTTTAAAATGCATTGACTCAACATCTTCCTACGACATACTGATTCTTACTGAAATATCACCAAACAAATCCCTGAGATTCTGCCATTGAAGAAATACCACTAGATGTCTGGGAAAAATCAGGAGGGCTTACAAAATAGAGAACACAAAAATCTGAAGTCTGGTAACAAACTTGAGGACAATTCACTCTTAGATGAGCATCTTATTCCTACAAAGTACACCAAATATCCATAAATAAATGTTTTTATAAATTAACTCAATAAGAAGGAACATATTTTGCCCATGCCATTCTACTTGGCACACAAAACAGGAAAATTCAACATACTCTGCCTTGGAACCAGGAGCAGCCATGTAGTATGTGAGGTCAGTCACTTACAGCCCTGGTCTTCCCTTTTCCACTCAGCTCTAAGCAGAGCTGCACCAAAGGGTCAGAGGCCTGGCCACTTGCACTTGGTGCCATGTGTCCTCCTACCCTGCTGTCAGGGGGCAGTGAGATGGCAAAGGTCTTGCAAATCAAGCTTACAGGAGATGGCTGGGGAATCCTGGGATGCAGCCAGACAGCACCAACTTTGCACCCTTTTTATCAAATATAATTGAATTAAAACAGCATGCAACAGTTTAGACCCACTGAGAGAGGAGGCTGGGGTAGAGATTTCACTAGGTATCTTTGACACTTTTTTACTGGATATAATTTCAAGAGCTCCTAGCCACATGAATCATAGACCTGGTTTGGTCCTTCCTACTGCATCAGTCGTGATACATTCTTCATCACTACAAAAGAACCCAGCAGACCAGTGACACAGATTCCTTCTGGATCAAGAAGCAGGAGTATCTTTCAATGCAACAGCTGGAAGAACCCACCACTTAGCTTGGCGGAGAAACTTCGCCAGCTCCTGGTGTGTGTTAGATAATGGATAATAGATAGTTAGATAATAGCAGCCAACCCCATAACCTCATATGAAATCACATTAGGGCAAAGCACATTCACACAAAGAAAGGAGAACATGACTTAACTCTCAAATCTTCATGAACCATACATATAAACAAAATAAGCCAGTGCCTCCAACTGGCTATTTTTGCCCTACCACAAGTGGGAGGAAATAGTTTTCTACTTGAACCAGGAGTGCAGCCAGCCTAGCTACCCCCCTTTTGTTGTAGCATAAAGTCTAATTGCTGTGAATTCTGTCGGCTTCACAAGTAATCCTTGCATGGGAAGCAACGAGGCTGGGAAGTTTCAAAACCTCCTACTCATAAGGAAAGACCATAAAATAATGAATAAAATAGCAAAATAAACTTTTTAAAGTTCTCTTCTGTTTCTTCTCAGAACCATCTTTTGGGTTTTTCTTTTATACAGATTTGAAAAGTTGGGTCTGTGATCAATTTCTTGAGTCCTCTGTAGTTATAAGATCACTATTTAACACCAACATCACTTCCAGCTCTGGCTGCTACGAACCAGAAATGCAGATTGCTCAGACCAAGGCACATCACATTTTTCTCTCTAATGAAACTGAGAGTGGTTTGGCCTTTAGGCAAACTATCTCCTTTGAGACAGGTGGGCTCCTCTGCAAGGGAAGAACATAAACCACAAATGTTCCTATGAATTCTTAGACCTCAGTGATCATATGCCAGAAACATTAAGTGAATTATTTTTCTGTCTCAAGTTCAGGAATACTTTCCTTTGCCAAAACCAAGATTTGGAATCCAGAAGCAGCAAATCCCAGCTCCGGCAAATCTGGAAGGATGAGCTCTTGACCATTTTGAGTTTCAGTGAGGATTTTATTCTCTCTCAGGTCTGTACTGTGGCTCAAATGAGAAAGGAGTAAGTACTCTAAACTGTAAATTTTTGTGATTGTTATTATCTAGTATCTTGGCATTTCCAAGAACTAGATGATCACTCTTTTAGAAAGCAGCTGATTCTGTCACTGGACCACTCTGCATGTAGATCTGACGCTTCGTACCTCCTACCTTGCTGACTTTGGGCCAGTCAGCCAGAGCAACTAAAGTCCGAATCCCCTTCTACAGAACAGTTCTTCACACAGCCAAAGGCACTTAGCAAATGTGCCTCTGGTTCTCCCTAATACCTTACAATTTTCTCACCAGTCCTTGGCTGCCAGGGTTTCAATCCCCTGAGCAATCTGGCTGTCCTTTTCCAGGTAATTGTTGAACAGAACTCCGTTCCTAGGAGGGCACTGACCAGCCCCAGTTCAGCAACCTGGCTAGTACTGCCCATGGTCAGCCCATGCCTCTCATGATGCTGTGTAAGATTATGCTAACATGTAAGCAGCTGCTGGCTCCTATTGAATCAACAATCACTGAAATTCTTCACTCCCAGATCTTTCGCATGAGGCAGTGCTGTAGGTCAATGCTGTGGGTAGTCATGTAATAGAATCACAGCACTTCATGCTTTGATTTCACATCACAGGTTTGGACCTGCTGAGATCATTTTAAATGAGTCCATTCCATTTAAAACAACAGACTGGCATCATTCAGATCATATGCAAAAAAAAAAAAAAAAAAGAAAAAGAGAAGAACAAAGAGAGCTGTGGCCTGTCTTTAGACCCGCACTGCCCCAGTACAACAGTCGCTAGCCACACGCGGGTATTAAACACTTGAGATGTGCCCAGCCCTAATTGAGATGTGCTGTAAATACAGAGGCACACCAGATTTGTGCTATAAAGATTAATTTCATCTGTTCCTTTTAAATTTTTTTAAATGTGGTGCTTTAAAATGTTAACTTACGTGGCTTCCTTTGCATTTCTATGGGACAGCAAACTGCACTAGAACTTTCTCCATGACGTCAGTCAGCAGCACTCTTTCTTTCAATATGGTTCCTCTGTCCTGAACAGTCCTCGTTATCTCCTAATTCACATTTCACCATTTTATCTATGAAGATATCCTGGGGAAGTTTTGCCAAATGCCTTTAATCTATATATTCAATATATTTCTGTCACAGCAACCTTTTTGAAGACAGAATGAATGAAGGAGAGGCGGAGACTCTTGGCCCAATTGCTGAGCCCAGTAGGAACCCAAGATGGCTTTTTTTTTTTTTAACCCCTATTCAAAGGTCAGTTTCTTTAGATGTTGACCCCAGCTCAAGTAAGGGAATGAACATAAAACAAGCACATACCATGCTCTCTGTACAGGATCTGAGGAGCCCAGCAATTAAGTACCTGTATTTAATTTGGAATCTGAGAACAGAATTACAGCTTAATAAATATCTGCTACACAAATGGGCAAATGAATAATCTGCTTGTGGTATCAGAACCTTTATTCAGGACTGCTATTTAGATGATCCCTCATCTCCAGGCTTTTATCTACCCTGAATAAACAAGGTACCTCCGAAAGAACGTTGGCTTTATGGTGAGGAAAACCTCAAACCGCGTCATGGCTCCATCTCCTGCTAATTCTATGACCCTGGACATATTACTGAATCTCTTGGTTTGCTCCTTTAACACCACATACTTCTCTAGTTTTTGGTGTGATTACAACCATTAGAAAAGGACTGCTGGGCAGTGCTGCCACACCTAGTTCCTGTCTCTGTCCCATCCTCACAGTGGGTGGGAGCACGTGCTGCACAAGAAGGTGCTCCTTTGTCCTGACACCAGTGACTGGTGCTGGCCTGGCCACTCACTGTCTTAAGTCTTTAGCAAATGTCTTTGAACCTCACAGTTCAAGGGAGGGGGTCAGGTTTCAGGCTCTGATCAGTGCCAGAGGCCTCTTTCCATCAGTGTGGTCATTTCTTCTTCTTCCTTTTCATTAGCTCTTCCCCTCCATTAACAAAAATATTTCCATTGAAAGTTATGAAAAAGCTTGCTGTCTAACTAGTCAGTGAGGAGACACATGCAGAATGTTCTAGACTTGTACATCACAGCTTTTTTGAAACTGCTTTCCTCCTGCAGCCTGTCCTTGCTACAGCTGTGGGCCCAGGAGGTCCATCGGCACTTCATGACAGGCCTCTGGACAAGATCAGGGGAGCACCAGCCCAGAAGTCATGTGTCACCTGATGTATATCACCTCATTCCTTTAGCGATTTGAACTGAGAGATCCAGGCCCAAGTTTCAAGCCCTGAAGTTGTAAAGCCTTGAGAAGTTAGGGACAGTGGCAGTACCAGGGTAACCTGAGCCACAGGCAAGCAGACCTTATGAGGGAAAAGAAACCAAGAGCCTTGCAGTGAAAGCTATAGCTTGCAAGGCACCAAAAAAAAAAAAAAAAAAAGG